TAGGAAACAGGCAAAGAAAGCTTATGCAATAAAGATCTCAATCAGACTTTCTTTAGAATAATTAGCAGTTTATATTTATTATTCATCTAAAATTCTTTTTTAAGTTTTCAGAGACTAAACACACATCTTCCCACCATACTAAATAAACCAGAATTAAAATGTCAAAATGAGAGATTATTCAGGCATGCACTTCCTCTGAGACTATGATTTAAGTTATTTGTGATAATGTAAAGCCAATTTTCATAAAACATCATTATCTATTGTGGAACAAAAGCCCTTTCATTTAACTTTGCACAGCGAGACTGCTGCTAAGCACCATCATGGTCACCAATCAGACATAATTGAACTACTAGGAATAACGGGTGATGATGTTTATCCACCCTGACATGTCTATGTAAATAGAATATAATTGACTGCAAGTGAATGTATTTGCCCTAAAGTTACTGTTTTAGTAGCAGGGAAAATGGGCAATGTAACTTTTGAGTAACTTTGGCAATGAAAAAATATTAATCTGTGCCCAATTTAGACAGGTTGTCATGGGCAAAATATTCCCTGATAGCTTTTGCATCTTTCAGCAGGATAAGGTTTCGTTTCACAAATCATATCTGAATTTCAACTTAATGAGAATAATGATTCAAATTGGCTACTGTGCTAGAAATGTATTGAGTTTGGTATAAATGTATTCCAGTTTGGTATTCCAAACAGAACAAAATTATTATTTTTATTATTTTTTTTTCTTTTTACTGGTGTGCTTTGTTTGTAATGATTTTGCTTATTTGTTTATTTGCTTTTGTATTTTTCAACAAATTGTTCAATTTAGGGCACAAAAGTTAATATAACTTAAGTGACATCAAACCTGATCATAACTGAACAGGATAAAATTGTAAAAATTGTGGTGTTTAATTGAAAAGGTGTCCATCACACTGAAATACCAAAATTAAGATATTTGATGTTTAAAACTTATCAAAACCTTAATAAAAGCCCTATCCAGAGCCTACTTCCTTTTTTTGAAAGTTGTTTTGCAATTCAGATACTGTTTTTCAATAAATAACAACGTAATCCAGGATATAATCTCTGTTTATTTCCTGATTTAGAATAATCATGCTGCTTTGCACTGATGTGACTGAATATTTCCTGTGGGACAAGGATAATTATATTTGGAGTCCATACTATATGAAAAGAATGTCATCCTGCACTGGTGCAATGCACTAGAGGATGCCAGCCTGTTAGGATACACATTCAAGCCTTTTAATTTCTCCCCCAACAGTAGCAAGGACCCAGAGGAGTCTTCTAATTTACTAACATGTGTCAAGTATATCGTAGGCTTTTTTCACTGATGTTTCAGGCATTAGTACAGATACACTCACACATTTGCTTCATTTTCACAACTGGATATGAAGCTGCCATTCACAGACTATGATAACAAATTCAATTTTCTTTTGGATTAATGGGGCTTTGAGGCTTTGCGATCGGGCCTGAAGATATTTGAGAGACTGTTGACAGAGAAAACTCTGAAATCTTCTAACCCTTATCTACTCAGGGGAGAGAGCTTGTTGAATTATGTCATGCCTGGATACAGTAAAGCCAAAACAAAAATATTATAACATTGTCAGATAAGTTTTATGGAAAATTTGTTTAACACCAATTTAAAACTTCTGTGCTTCAGTAATGTTTAGTGTATGTTAACAATAATATCTCTGGTTTGTTTAAACTAAATAAATATGAAATGTCAAAGCAAAGTTAGGCTCATGCTGCATAATCCTGGAAAGACCCTACAAATGTATATCAGATTTCTATAAACACCTAACTCATCAAGATTCTAAGACATTTTATTTCATAGCATACAATAAGTTTGGCTTGGCTTAATGCATTTTTTTGTAAAAAGGTCAGGTCTTAGAGAATTTTAACAGCAATCAAGAGAATTGAAATATAGAGCTTCTTGTCACACCCTGCTGCCTTTGCATTGTACTAGACACTATAGCATTTTTGAAAAAAAAATAAATGGTGATGGTATGTTTTTGTACATTTGTTTTCCTGGGAAATATTCTTTGGGACAATGGTTCAGTGATAGTCAAGAGTTTAAATGGCAGGCACAGAGAAGTATAGCAAATTACAGAAAAGCCATTAGCTGATTTTTATTTCAATAACCATGGGCGATGTTTTGAGGAAAGTTACGTACTTAATTTAGAATTTTTGGTTTATTAGACTAAATAAGCCATATTTTGCCTAGCAAATATTTTAAAATACCTTGAAACTTTTTTCCACCCACAAGCCTCTATGATCAGAAAACTATAAGACAACAGGAAACCTGAGACATGGCCATTCACCTTAAGGATGTAGTGAAGAATGTTCTTTTTCCGGGTGGATCCTCAAAATAAGTGGTCCTCCTAATTGTAAATCATTCTTGTGATATGTTTACCTAAGGCCGTCCTACGTGCTTGTCCCCATTTTCACTTAACGGTAGTGAGTCTAACATAGTGGAAAAATAGCAAATCTTCTTTTGTATGAGCGATGCAAACAGAGCGTGCACGAGGAGAAATGTGCTTGTGCATGCTCTCACACGCGTTTTGAAAATTTGACTTTAATAGGAGAGTGACAAGAAGAAAGTTATGGTTAAGGGAGAACTATAATAATTTCTGTTTAAAATTAGCTAAAAGTCAAGTATAGGAAATGGTGAAACTTTTAAGGTTTTAGGTGAGACCGAAATGTAACTTTTTCATCTACATCCACTTTAAAAACTGTTTGCACTGAATTGTTCACAAAGTTCAGAGAGGATTTTTGTATCACAGAGACAAAGAAAATTATGCATAAAGACAAAGTCACTTCAGAAAAATTTTAACCAAAGTTTCAGGTTTTGGCATTTGTGTAACTTGTTTGTTGTATTATTTTTTTTTACAGAAGGCTGTACTTCCATAAGGAATCACTACAGCAGTCTGGAGCTCCTTTCTTACCCTGGAAGTTCTTATTGTTGACCCTGCAAAATGTGACAAAAGATTTTTTCATCCAGCTTTTTAATCGAATCCAGGAATTCTGATAAAATCCACAGATCTAACATAAGTAGGACAGAACATTTAGTTTAAAAAGTGGTGCAGAATTTGACGCTTATGAAGACCAAGCTTAATTAGCTCAGAAGGGGTTGGCTGGAAGCAATCTAAAATATCAGGCAGAGAAGGCGACAGGATTGTCAATACAAGTGTAAAGAAATATTGTTACTCAGCTTAGTGACTTTGTCTACAATGTAAGAAAAAAAAAGTTGGCAACCCTTATTTAAAATGCCCTGATAGTGTTAATAAACAGCTTAGTTTCCTTAACTTCTTGAGAACAAATAAGAAAAAAATGGATTCCAAAGTTCTTTTACTACATTAACAAAACAAGCTAAACAAGAATTATAGCATTTGTATTTTAGAGTGTTAGGGGAAAAACACATTTGAAATAGACAAAACCAAACACATTAGTTGTTGTCAGAATACCCATGGCTAATTGATTTTGACAAACTAAGTGTATTTTCAACCAACTTCTTGGTTTATTTTGTGGGTCAGAAAGGGTTGAAAATGTTTGGTTACTCAGCTGTAGAGTATGATTGAGTCCAGGAAGAACTCATTATACTGGCTGTAAGCAAACTCAGGCCTTAATCTTAAAAAAGGACAACGACTCCAAGCAGAATAGAACTCAACTATATTGACATTACATTGTCATAGTATAAACAAAAAAAATTGTCCCTCTGCATTTAATCCATCCCTTTGGTGAGCAGTGGGCTGCCATTGTACGCCGCCCGGGGAGCAGTGTGGGGGTAAAGGGTCTTGCTTAGAGATCCAAAGTGGCAGTCCATGGTAGTGGGGCTTGAACTCTGAACCTCTGGGATCCAAGCACAATGCCCTAACCACTAGGCTACCACTCCCCTAAGAATATTATAATCCCCACCAAGTTTTGTTTCCCAAGACATGCTAGAACATGCAGGCTCTAAATATACTGGTCATGAACGATTTGAATACTGCAATAGTCCTTAAAAGTGTCTTGAGATAGAATAAACCAAATAGAGCATTAGTGACTATTAGCATTTTAAATTACTTATTTGATTAATTTATAGCTAACAGCTTACAGTTTGTTTAAATTTTGCAATAAAATGTATTGTATAAGTGGGTGAACAAATTTACCTTGAAGTGTATGCAGACAAGCTGACAGCCTTAGCTGGGCAGGGGACAAAATCACTTGATATAGGCGCTCCATCGATTGCATTTATATCTTGTATGCTATACCTTCAGCCTGATGTTTCCCTCAGGTGAAAATTGGCTGCGTTGTTCCAAGTTGCATTGGCTGCATGACCCATAGCAGATCTTAATGATCAAACCTTTGAATTTCATCACAAAAAGCCATTTTTTACCCATAAGGTGATAGTTGTTCTCTTCCCAGACCATCTAACACCCCTTAATTAAATATTTTCATTTTTTCTTTTACATTTCTTATTTAGTCTTATAAGGGTTGAATTAATATTCTCATCACTCTTCAAACATTTGTTTAAGAAAAGAAATACAATCCTGTTCTCCCACTAAATTATCTAGTGTCGTTCTATCACATAAATTTAGGTCTATTGTAATGTGAAAAAGTTAAGACAAAATTATGAAAGCTTTTACAATGCACTGCATTTAAAAACATTACTTGACAAAGCAGTGATATTATAATAGCAATTACAAAAGTAGGATATGATGCACGAGTTTGTCCTGCAACCAAGGGACAGAACCCCAGGTCTGTGTGCTGCAGTATTTGCCTGCTGATGATGGTCAGAGGGCCTAGAAGTGGCTTTGTACGGCAGACTTGCCACTGCAGATGAACCGTGTACCTGCAATGTAGCTAACCGCCATGAATGACTGAATGCAGTGGGAAGCTCTTTGAGGTCCTGGAACATTTTCTATACAAATACATGCACTTCACCATTAAGAACTTTAATCTACAAATGATGAGACTGCAAAAGTTACAATTTTAAACTTTCATTTATTATTTCAAATTTTTTTGTTCTGCCTTTGTTATACAAAGATGTTAAATAACTTAAATACATTCTTACCAGTCATTTGCGATCTGTTTATACCTACAAGCTATACACATGAGGTAGAGGGAAAATAATTTAGAGTTCCCATAAGACAAAAATAGGTGGACATGGACAAAACACAGCTGGTATCATAGTTCTACAAAAATAAAATACATAGTTGGTGTGTTTTATGTGTCTGATAAACACAGCATAAATCCTAACCAAACACTAAGAAGTTTGTGTATAAATTTGTTCATACAGGTGTGGTCATTGGTTAACACTGTAGGAGACATATGGTTGGATGGCTACAATAACAAATTAAGATGTTTAACTAAAAATGTATTCATGAAAAATAAGATCTCGCTCAATAAAGAATTCTTGATGATTGTGATTATCTTAAATAGCTATAGGTGCGTTGATTCAAATTTTTTTTTTAGGATTTATTAGTGCTTAAATATCCATTTTGACATGTAATGATACAATATTTTAAAATATGTTGCTTTATAAATCCTCCACCCCAAAAAGGCACAAACACCCATGAGAAAAAAAGTATAAAACCAAGAATATAAAATCATTTTAACATTTTTATATACTCATATTTACACTAAACACATGCTCATCATATTTTGAAAAAATAATTTATATCTTAATCTTTTCCATAAAATATAATTTTATACATGAACCACTGAATACTAAACAGTGCAGAGCTTTGTTTTTGAGAACATAGATAACTGTGTAATATGCGTCATGCTCCTCTTTCTCTTGAAAACTTGTAGGACTATGTACAAACAATAACACACATTAAAGAATGCACTCTATGTGAAATTGGTGTATTTGTCATATCCGCTGCAAATCCGTTTAATTTGAGACTAGTGAGGCTCACAGTGTTTGGGCCAAAGCAAATGTGGAAAAAAAATATAAAAAACAACCAGAAGCTGTGGGGAGGAGGCATTTATGCACAGAGTCTCAGCATAGCTATTATGGTCACCATGTAGCGTGCAAAGTTCTGTGTATGCGTTTTAACCAGTCTTTATTTGGAGTGCCATCTCCTATCAAAAATTTCGGAATTTAGTTTTCAAGCCAAATGAGGTCCACCATCCTTAAGCATGAATTCAATACCAAAGTTAGAATAATGAATTAATATAATCTCAATAGTCTACTTATTATACTTTTGTTTGTTGGTTTGTTTTTTGCAGCATTAAAACAAATAAACTCCAGAACCAAAATAACACTTTATTCCCTACAGGTCTGTTTGAGATATTTATGCGAGCTGAACATGTGCCTTAGTTTTGTCTTTATACCACAGGCGAAGAAACCATTGCTATTTACATTATCTGAAAAACAAGTTAAATAAAAAAAATTCTGCACTTGATTGTAATCATAAATATAGGTCTAAAATACTTCAAAGGGCATTTGGGCTTCAGTGCGTGAATGGTGCTATAATACAAAAATGTGTTCTTTACTCAGTAGTTAATTCACACCAGAACATGTGAAATGTTATTGTTTGTACTGTTTTACTGAAGATGTATAACACCAAAATAATCTCCTATAGTAACGGGTGTTCTGGTATTGCAGTGGCATAACCTCTGATTGAAGAGGTTTTAAAATACATCTTTTTTACATTTATTAAAATTCTAAACTTTTGTGTTCAAGTGTCACTGTTAGCACACTTTGTATTTTAGAGTCCGATTAAGTCCAAAGGTGTTTACCTCAGTTTAAAGTCTGAGAAAAATGTAAATGAACTCATATACAAATACAACTTTACAGGCTTCCTATAGAAAACAGTAGTGAAATTACATTTAAGCATCAGTTTGGGCAATCTCACGCAAATATAAGCATTTTCAATTTTTTTTAATGGTAGCTACAAGACATAACCTTATTCACTTGAGCAGATTTGCACACCGTCAGGTTAAAATTCAGTCTCAGCTGCCCCAGACTGTTAAAACTTCTACTGCACACACTGCAATATGGCTCAATCAAATTGTGGCAGCTGCAGAGGAGAGGCAAACAGGGAAATGGTAGGGAGTTACATTCCTACAGTTCTCCACAGTCTTCTTTACAACATAAAGTATAAAAAGAAAAACCTATAAAAAAATATGAAGTTGCACAGAACTCCATAAAGTCTGATGGGAGTCACATGCCACATGTCTGCTGTTTAAATGATAACCTGCTGCAAAAATGTTTGCTTAAATCCACTTAATTATCTCTTAAAATTGTTTGCATACACTTTTCATATTGTTTAATCTTTGTAGATATAGTGGTTTAAGTTATTCCCTGAACACTGGTTTGTTCAAGGCTAGGAATAGCCTAAACTGAATGGTTTAGTTGTTTTCTATTAATGTATGTACAGTTATTATATTACATTACTAAAAAAAGACAACAAATCCTCCTGCTAAAGGAGTAGTCCCAAAGGATCTATAAATTATCCATAAAAGGCCATTAAACACAACTGTGTTGCTTTCCAAAGGCACTTGTCAGATTGATTAAAACAAAGAGAGAAAAGGTACACAAACAAAATGTTTGTGTTTTTAGTGGTTTGTTTTACAATAAGTGGCTTGTATAATATCACTAAATTATAACTTGTTTTTTTGTTTGTTTTTTACATACTTATGCAAACATATGATAAGTGTGAGTGTAAATATGTGTGAGTAATGTTTACACCCTGTCTTTTTCTTTACAACGTCTCAGAATGTGACTTTAACTGGAATAAAAATATTGTCACGAAAATCACTACAGACCACCAAAATAAACGCACACATATCACAATAGGCACACATTGTTCTGTTCTTTGGGCAAAGCCCATTAGACAAAGGCTGTTGCGTTATCATCCTCAGGTTTGTTTTACAACTGGGTTATTATTCTTTTAGAAAATGTTGCTAATGGATTTCTCAAACAGGTAACAACAAAGTCTTTTTTTTCCTCACAGCAGTACTGTGATCAAAAAGCTTGAGATAGTAACCCAGTTAGTCGTCTTAGCAAAGTTTTATTCTGCAGGACCCCTGAAACTCCAACACACATTAATCCATCAAAGTGCTTTTTGCGTTTTTGGCTTGCTTCTCAGTTTTTTCGGCAGAACGTTGTTCCGACAATAGCAGCACAACCTCAGAGGAGAACAAACCATCCAGTCTACTTCAGCCCAACCATCTTTGACTCACTCCACTGATTGCAGCACAACTGGCAGTTGATGCTTTACCCCTTGCAGGTATAGACTTCCTCTCTCTGCGTGCACTGCTTGCATTCGACATAGCAGCACCAGCGCACCTGACATTGGCAGGGCCCGGTCACCTCCCTACTTTGTGTGTTGTGGCCCCGTCCGCAACAGATAGCATCACAGTTCTGGTCCTTGTAGCATTTACGTGCTGCAGTGCCTGCTGAGTATTTGCTGGGTTTACAGAAGCTAGGCGAGTCCTCAATGTGGAGCAGGTCCATAGTGCGGGGAATCTGATCGCTCGGACCAGGTAGGGATGGCTGCTGCTGCTGCTGCTGATGGTTTCGGCCAGTGGAGATGTCTCCCTCTCCAGTGGCAACATTGGTGGGGCTGCCAAACTTGACAGAGGTCTCATAGCGCTGCTTCAGTCGGTTGCCAATCTCATGGAAGGGCAGGAGCTGCCTCCAGCAAGTCTGGACAGTGCAGGAACCAGAGACACCATGACACTTACACGTTGTCTCCACTCCCGCCTTGATTACCTGGAGCACAAGGGAGGTTTGTTAACAACTGTAAAAAAAAAATCCGGAGGAGTCAATTTAAGGCCAGAATTATTTGAAATTTTTCGAACACTGTTGCATGAAAATTACAAACAATAAAAATTTAGGCTACCTTCTAAATTCATTATTTGTTTTTACCAAATGGTCAATATCATGCTTTGCTTCTGGCTTGTAGCATAAAGCAGAACATTTAGGTGTTCCATGAAGACCTAAGTGTTTACACAGCTGGAGTGTTCCACATTTTTGTCATGTTACAATCACACATTTTAATGTATTTTATTGGTATCTATGCTCGACTAATTTAAGTATTCCATAGTTGTGAATACATTGTTTTTTTAAATGTTTACATATTTAATTTAAAAAGTGTGGCGTGCAAATGCATATAGTAGCAATAAAAATCATAAAATCTTCCAGAGCCCTTTTTTCTTTGCAAAATAAATCAACTAATATTATTTTGAAATTTGGTTAATTTCAAATTTGTGAAAAATGTGAATGTGTATTTACAAGAAAAAATCCTGAAAATTAAACATTGACTTTTTTTGGGAGCAGTTTTAGTACGGTAATAAAGTAATAACATTGGTTGAGTGGACAGATCTGTAAAAAATGCTTCTTCCAGCACTTAGGATTCAGTAGTCTGTCACTGAATGAGCATCTCAGTTAGGGGAGATCTTTTGTTTCCCACCATCTGCACTAAGTCAAGGGGACATTTTGGACATACCTTGACTGCCTGACGATCACATCTAGCTACCTTTTCTTTGCTGTCAATAAGTGGCTGTTCCAACCAACCATTGTTATAGCTGATGCAAGAACAGATTTCACAGAGCTATCTGCTGTTTTTACAATTCATGAAACAACACATTTCTATGGATGCCACCAATTCAGCAGGACTGTTCTACAGTTGTTTGGCATCTGGTCAATTTAGATAATTCAAAATGTGTAATAGTGAAAAAGCTGGAGAGCACCATTAAATACCAGCCATTGCAATCATAGTTTATTGATCGCTAATGCCATCTTTTCACAAGATTTGAAAACACTCAAATTGAGCCTAGGAGGAAGTTCAAATAAATAAACTGATTACTCGCCTTCATCCACCTACGACACAGCCAATCAGCTTTGAACCACATCTCCACGAAAGCCAATCAGCATCCAAATTTATATTAAAAAGCCTCCAATCAGCAACTCGTCTCCTACCTAGTGTGCAGACGGTGGTTGCGCTGTGTGACTTCATTCAGATGACCCCGTTTCAACCCACCTCCAGCCCCTCCTTCATCATAGCTAAAACTTCATCAGAGTTTCATTACTCCTGGACTCTTACTGCATCTCATTTCAACCGGTCCGGCAGGACACGCCATGTTAAACCTGGTTCTGCCAGAGGTTACTTCCCAATAGGGAGTTTTTCCTCTCCACTGTCGCTTCATGCTTGCTCATCTTGGACAGGTTCTCTCAACCTGTGTTATCCAAACTGGACTTCCATCTTCCAGGTCCCTGAGTGAAGCTCTAGTATCAGCTCATGCAGTCCACTGGATCTCCCCATAAAGCTCAGCAGACCGTCTCACTAACCAGCAGTCTACAGACTGACCAACTTCATCTATCTCCACTCCACCACCAGTTTCAGGCCTGGGGGGAAACAGCCCTGTTCTTTACTCCCGTTAATGCATATCTATCAAAATTCCGCGCTATGTTTCCTGCAGAGGTCTGAGAGCCAAAGACCAAGTAATTGTATCAAAACATTCCTCTAATTGTCTTTTCTCTGTATAAGTTTTTCAGATTTAAATTTTTATTGTTTCAACCAGCAACTAAAAACATTAATAAAGTCAATAAGTTTATCTGAACTGTAAAAAAATAAAAGGATGCTGAATAATTAGATAAATTGAAGTTTTAATTTGCTAACAAATAAAACCAAGGTTTATTTTCTAGGGCTTAACGTTTATTATACAAGCATTGGGAAATTTTCTTTTTCTTTTACAAGTTTACTCTGCTCTCGTTTATATATTTTGGTATAATGGAAACAGACTTCCAGTGGCTTTTCTTCCAAACTCCCCCGTCACCTTTATTTCTAAATTTTTCAAGTGAAAGAAAGGTTGACCAGTCATCAAATTCTGCCACCTGAGAATGAAATCTCTGTACTGGGACAATATATGGAAAGGTTGAGGTGTCTACTTCTACTTCTAGGACCACAATAAATGATGTTATCTACCGTAACTTAGCAGTCAGCCAAAGTTCATTACAATTTAAAAAGTAAAAGCAATAAAAGATCTAAACTCTGCAATAATGTCTTAAGTGTGGTTTGGAGAAAATATGTTGTTTTTTTGTTTTTTTTCTCTGACTGTGAAAGAGATCAGGGAACAGGAAGTGCATATTCATCACAGCGGCAGGTCAAGGAAATTTGACTGGTCAGCTTTTAAAAAGGTTTGGTGCAGAGGTTAGCACATTCCAGTTTTTTTCCTCAGAGCACGGAATACATTCAGAGCTAATTTGGTGGGCCCCTATACCTGAATATGTGCAAATCACACTTGCATTCATATAAAAGATTATAAATGAAAACCATTTAGAAGAATTTTGTTAAAGCTGACATTTGTGAAGTGCATTTTAACAATATCTGATTTTGAATTGAGTAAAATTAATACAAACCAGACTCCAACTTTTGTTTGGCTGGACAAATTACAACCATTGCTTCTTTAGATTCCAGGTAAATAGATCAGATTTGTGGTGGGCATATATGGGGCTTTAACCTTGGAAATATAAGTAAGAAACCAATAACTGTTTAATGACTGGGTTTCAACTTCACCAAATTTACAGTAGTCTTAACTTTGATCAGTCTAAGGCTACGTTCACACTGCAGGCCTTGATGCTCAATTCCGATTTTTTTTTGCGAAATCCGATTTTTTTACGTTGCCGTTCGTATTTCCAAATATATGCAACTTGTATGTGATCTCCTGTGTGAACTGCAGTCATACAATGCAAGTGTCCCGCATGCGCAGTAGAGGACGCAATGACGTCACAGGCCAGAGTGTTTTTTTTTCCGGACATAAACATGGATGGTAGTGCCGGCGCACATCTAGTGGTCTTTTCCAACCTTAAAAACACAATCTTTTCAATATGGTTAAACATAAATACTCCTGTCCACATCATCATCTGCCATGGTTGTTGTTTTTCTTGCCGCTTCTGCGTAGCAAGACGCATAATAGTGACCTTCGTCGGGTATCAATGACGTTCAGGTCGGATGAATCCGACCTGGCCGTTCAGACACAGGTCGCATTTTATAAGTTCAGATTCGTATTAGATTCAGGACCACATAGCCAAGTGGCCAGGGTTGGATTGGAAAAAATCAGATTGGTGTTGTGCAGACAGCCATGAAATGATCAGATCCAGGTCGCATATGGGCAAAAAAATCAGATTTGGGTCACTTCAGGCTGCAGTGTGAACATAGCCTTAATTACTTTACAAGTAGTGTTTTAAAGCTGCAATAGGGAGTTCTGAGAAAACCATTGACTTAACACTTGAACAAGCACACCTTTCAGTTCCCTCATCCTTGCTCTCTGCTGCCTACAGCCCTCCTTCCACAGCTCCTTCCTCACATAAGAGCCTCCCATAAAGGTCACTTACAGTAGCTTGGCCACTGAGAATGGCGAAAAATGGCTATAGTTGGGTTCACCAATGTGCTGCCCACTGGCAGCAGGGCTTCCTCAAGGACCACATGAACGGCCCTGAAACCTCTTCTAAAAATAGCACTCATTAGTGAGCCGTGTCTCGAATTGTATTTCTTAAGTTACTCTTGCTTTTCCCTCTCTCTAGAGATTTGAAAATTATATTTAAAATGACCATTGAAAAAAATGTTTTTGGTTTGAAGTTTTTTACATGAAGTTTAAGTGAACAATCTCAAGTTCAAAGGTCGGTATTGGTAGTCCTTTGTATGACGTAGTACTCATGAAGTAGCTCTTAGCTTCAAAGGGCTTGGTGACTTCTGGGGTATATTTAGTTGAGGGGGCGAAACATCAACAATATGCTGGAGATTAAATGACTGCTGCAGCACACTGACAATCTTGAGTTTAAATGCTGCACACATTGTGAGCATAAGCAAGTGTGATTGACGCTGCTATGACATTCCTCCTGGCTCTGATCAGTGATTTCTGATCAGGAGTTTTGTAGGACCACCGGGAGGAGGCAGAGGAGCTTGATTTTTCTCACATATTATGTCTCATATTCTGCTGTAAGGAAATAGTTACAATCTGATACATATGTTTAATTAATATGTAAAAAATAATTTCTACAAATTACCTTCTATACCTCAAGCTGAACCCTTTTAGAGATTTTACTCTGTTATATTGTCTTTGCAATTTTATATTTCAATATAATTAGTCCCCATCCCATTGAATCAATCCCTTTGCCTGACAATCATATGATCTTCTCCTTTTAAAAAGCAATGATTATGGTAAAAATTTTAAATAAAGTCTAATAAGACAATCCTGCTATGTGTTGAGTGTAGAGAGTAAATCTGGTCTGTTTGGATGGGTATCAGCACTTCTTCAACCTCAAATTGGGGATATTCAAAATGATTGTTTGATTGTCTTGGCCAAACAGCCTGGCTTGTGTACTGTTCCCCCAGCACAGATGAGGAAGTAACCTACTGAATGTGACATGTAGCAAATCAGAAAGCATCTCATGAGAGAAAAAAAAAACAGTTTAACAGTTTAGCAACTAGATCCCCTGCTTACGCCTTCTCCACTCCTTTAAACAATGCTTTTCGTATCATAAAGCATACATGTAGTTAAATCTGTTAGTGTATGAGTGATTTCTCCACGTGCATGTAAACCACACACAATGGGACCAAAACCTATTAAATCTGGGCATTTATTGACGTATGTGGGTTCTCTTAGGTTTTGAAAATCATCTGATGATTTTGAAATCTTGCCTTGTGATCCAGGCATTAGGGAGCAACAAGCAGCTTTGTGTAGCACTCAGGGAGCATCCTGGGGTTATCAACCAGTGCAGTAGTCTGTGTTATATTTAGGTTCCTAGATCAAATTAAATTTCAAGAGAGGAGAGCTAAATGTTTAATGGTGCTTGGGGTTAACAGCCTACATTTCTTTTCAAATGTTCTTTATTTCTCCAAATGGCCTCTGCTCCATTACATTTTGTTTTTAATCAGTATCCTTGTTAGATTTATCTGTGCTGTAACTCTACCTATATTCATGTTAGCAGTGGAAATTATTACTTTAATAAAAAGGAAAATTTAGGTTGACATCTGTGAAATTATAATGTTATGAAATTATTTAGAGATAAATTTTGCTTTCTTTTAATGCTACTCCCTACACAGATTTCTGACATGTTTCTGGTGCTCATAAATAACAGCCTGCCCAAGATCAGTAGAACCCATAAGAGGCTATTATGCAAAGAGGAAGATATCTTGATATTTTTTTTCCTTGGGGAAAAAAAAGAAGATCTAGAAAACCTTTCATTACCTTCATCCCCACATTTGTGTTGTGCGTGTCAACCAGTGCACGCAGGTCCTTGTTGGAGCGTTTGCCAAGAAATTCCTTGACAAACTTGTTGGCATATTTGAGGTTGTCGCCGCAGCCTCCCCACTGCCAGGCCTTGCGGTTCTCCAGATCTGGGGCTTCGTCACATGTGCAACGCTCCATCCGTCCTGCACTGCAAGCTTTGGCTAGGGCATGCGTTAGGCCGGCCGAGGAGATAGCATACAAAAAGGAGGTTTCTTTGAATCCTAGAAAAACATTTAGAAAAGGGGAATTACAGGATGTGAGTTTAAATATCAACAGTTAAGAGGAATAAGAATATGGTATTAATATTTCAGGAAGATTATGAATTCCTTTACAAAATCTGAAGCATAAGTGATACAAACGAAAAATATAACAGCCTAGGTTCAGCTCATTTATGTATTACAAATAGAAAAATGATTTTATAAATCACAAACTTGATGATAAAGATTTTTTTTTTGTGGAGGGTTACCCAATAAAAGTGTAGCAGTCACACTGACTTAGAAAAGCAGAAATTGGTTAGCCATTTATCATTTACAGCGGGGGAAATAAGTATCAAACACCACCATTTTTCTGAGCAAATATATTTCTAGAAGTGCTATTGACATGACATTTTCACCAGACGTCGATAACAATCCATGCAATCCAAAGATACAAAGAAATTACACCATAGATATCCAGAAATTAAGTTATGTTTTATAATGTGGAATGGCACAAGGAAATATATTGAACTAGTAAAGACAGGGAGGTGCAAAAGCATGGAAAGCCATTAGAAAGCAATCCTGACTCTTGTCAGTGCAAATTAATACCGGCTGGTTCAGTCCCACATGATGGCCTATAAGAAGGTGTCTCTGGTATCACACAAGAAACATCTCATGATGGGTAAAAGTAAAGAGCTTTTTCAAGACCTTTGCAAACATATGATGCAAATCGTATTGATGGCTTTGGTTACAGAAGGATTTGTAAACTTTTGAATGTTCCAGTGAGCACTGGGTCCATAATCCGGAAGTGGAAAGTACATAATTACACAATAAACCAACCATGACCAGGTTCTCCTCACAAGATTTCTAACAGAGAAGTGAAAAGAATATCAGAAGAGTTGTTTAAGAACCAAAGACTACCAGTGGAGAGATTTAACCTCTTACACCCTCAGGGGGTATAAATAAATTTCTGCCTGACAAAAACACACAAAAGTAAATCACTTATAGCCTCACAGCTATTAGATTTAAGAAGAAACTTTTGGTACCTCTGTAAAGGTAAGATGTCATAGAATGGTTTTCTGGTGTCAGCACCATTGTAGCTTTGACCCTGCCTGAAATATTAGGGACAAAATGCAAAATATTTTGCATTTTTTGAACCTCGCCAAAATTTTCAAGTTTGGAGGTTAAATGGCACTGCACATCACCCCAAAAACACCATACCAACAGTGAAATTTGGAGGACTGAACATCAAATTGAAGTTAAAACGTGGGTGGACATTTCAGCAAGACAATGACCCCAAACTCACAGCCAAGGAAACTCTCAATTATTTCAGCAAAATAAAATAAAGCTGCTAGAATGGCCCAGCCAATCACCTGACTTGAATCCAATATAAAATTTATGGAAAGGGCTAAATATCAGAGTTCATTGAAGTGGCCCATGAGACCTTCAACATTTAAAGACTGTTGAGTGTAACAATGGGCCAAAATCACACCTGAGCAATGCAGGTGACTAATTTCTCCATACAGGACGCATCTTGAAGCTGTCATTGCCAACAAAGGCTTTTGAACAAGGTATTAAATAACTTTCAGTAAGTGGTTTTTAATACTTTTTCTCTTTGCCTTTATGATTTGGGTTCTTTGTATGCCTGGATTGCATGGATTTTTTTTTACCGATTTCTGGTGAAAATGTTATGTCAATAGAACCTCTAGAAATATATTTACTGAGAAAAATGGTGCCGTGTTCAATACTTATTTCACCCATTGTATTCCAAGCAACTGGTCTCAACCAGGCAATAATTTTCCTTTAGATCAATACCTAGAGCTACATACTTTTTTACTTCAAAAGAAGAACCATAAACACAATATTGAGGTGTCATCTTAAAAACCTTACCTTCAGATCCAAGGCTGATAATGATAACTTACACTTACTTTGTAGGACGAAGCCACATGCTGACAGCAACTGAAAAATACTTTAAATATTGTGGCTACAGGCCTATTTATACCCTTAATTCGGCTATATTTTTGTTGTCAAGAAACCTCATAATATTTCAGCAGTAGGCAATTAATGAGAACCCACCATCTGAAAGGAATATCTAGTAAATATGACTCCAAGAATTTCTGCCGATGATTGCACCTAGGTATAATGGTGGTTTGCACCAGTGTGATCAGTGAGGAAGACCCAAACTGATAATAGATTGTAGTTGTGCCAAGCGGAAGATATCCTGGTACTGAAAAAGATATCATATAGACCATATTCAACAACTTATTTTGAGATACTTGCTCAACTTTTAGTATAACTATATGTGCTTTCTTTCATCCATTTGGACAGGAAACGGGCTCAGAACAGTTTTTTTTTCTATACAAATCTATTGAGCAACTATCTTCTGAAACCAAATCATTTATGGATTATTACTTTTGTGTTCCTTTTTGGTGTGTCTGCTTTTGTCTTTCCAAAACCACAGACAGCCATGCCAGTAGGCCAATAACACTGAGCCACAGTAGGGAGACGGTTTCTTCCTGCTAAAAAGGAGTTTCTCTCACCACTGTCGCTACATACTCACCCAGAAGGAGTGGATTATGTTAAGTCAATACCTCCATGCAATCTGATGGGGTATTTTTTGTTGCTATTTTCTATCTTCCGTTGTTTAGCCAATCTGTCTGTATACAGACAGATACAATTGTCACTGTAAAGTAAATTGTGATGAAATGTTCTAAAACTGAAATTAACACACTTTAATATGCAAAATCACGACATGAAGTGGTTTAATTCTGATGTTTTTTTTGTTTTGTTTTTAACCAAAGGCTTTACCTATTCATGCAAGTACATCTTTAACTTTGAATATCTCGAATTTTCCTTTAGGGTTTAATTTTGCACACAATTTATGTTCTCTATTTCATGACTAAGCAATAATAAGTAGGTATAGATTAAAGATGCATCAGCTTTTATAGATATCATACAGAGCATTAACTTACTGCAATCTAGTGACTTTAATTGCATTATTGGAGTACTGATTATGTCATCGCTCATAGCACACACACAATGCGTTGTGATGATTTCTGGCTGTGTTAATTTGTCACCTTTAAAAAAAGTTTATATCAAGCATTGCTCCTTTACTCACATGGCTAGTTATGTTGTGAATTAATTTAACAGTAGTATCAGACTGGTAGCAGAAATCAGTCGGTACGCTAAGCCCATGTATCAGATAGGATCAGAAAAAATGGATTGATGCACCTCTATTGATAAGGAGAAATGTACGTAATTTGTTATCTGCTCTCACCTCTTTTTAATATGTTGGCCCTATGGCGCCCTTCTAAAGTGCAATTCCACCTCTCAAAGCGAAACTGATGTTGGCATTCTAAGGCACTCATAATTATGGCCTCCCTCAAGGTATCTGCCACGCCCGGGTCTCGTCTGCACATCCTCCGCTGCTTCTTTTCCAGCTTGAGACGGTCACAGAGCTTGAAGTGGGCCCTGCCCATGGTCTCTTCTGGTATTGAATTCAGTGGCAGAACAGATAATGGTTCATTACCAGTCAACCTACAGTGAGAACACACAAAGGAGAGGGGAAAAGGTTTATAAAGTTGTGGATCCTGCAGCCCTTTAAGATCAAGTTTTCAAATTATACTGCACAAACAGAACAGGAAGAATAGCTGGAAAATATTATGTTCATAAGCCTAGTTAATGTTCAGTTAAAGTCAACTGGAGCAAAGTTAATCTTTAGGGAAAATCAGTATTTGTTAGAAGCTTAAATACATCTTGGTACCAGCTTGTCTAAATGGGACAGAAGGAAAGAAAACGTGTGTTTTACAGAAGTTTCTGAAATCAGTTTAATTTCTGTAAAGTGAGTAAAAACACAACACACAGAAACCTAATTATACCAGATATTAAAATTTTAACAAATGTTATGTTGGAAAGCACTTAATGGCATCCTCCGAATGTGACGTACATGCAACATGCATATAGTCTCTATATTTGTGTCCTCATATTTTTATCACATGCTAAGTGACGTGCCACTCCTAGTAATGTTGTGTAAATTAAACATATTGCAGCAGGATTTAAATTCCTATTGGAAAAGCCTGGTATTTTAAAACACACCTTCTTCTGACTCAGAGTGCCTTGGAAGAGTTTTTCAATATGTTTAAATTTATGTAGGTAAGTATTTTATTAGAAATTCCAGCAATAAACAACATGTAAGGAATACATGTGAAGTGGAAACAATGTAAAAACAATGTTTTGCTGTTTATGCACTTTTATTAAGCTGCCTTAAACCTTATACCAAAAAGAAAATGTAACGCAACCTATTCACCTCAGGAATCTATTACTTTGCAAATGAGTCCATTTAACCTTAATTTAATATTATAATGAATACAACCATTCTGGTTTGAAAGTAATCAAATCCAATTATAAGTGAAAAAAC